TAAAGCTGAGTAGATCCTCGAAGACCGTCTTCAAGATATTAAAATCGCTTCGTCTATAGTCTGTAGATGTAGAAAGTTGATTCAACCTCTTCTTCATCATAGCAACTTCTTCATAATATAGTTGTCAGAAGACTTTACAGTAAAAGCATCGGTGCAATACCATAGTCTCCTGGTAGTGTTCCAGTAAATAGACGAAATGGAAGTATGCTAAAGTCCGAAGGCTTTTTATTTTATTTCTATCTTATCGAGGTCATAAGGTTCTGGCAATTGATCACTGATGGTCAGCTTCCTCATCCCATTTAATATTCCTATTATCATAAACCCAGCACAGAAAAACTTTGGGATGTTCGACGATCATTAGAAAGGTACCGTTCCATTTCATTGCATTTGACTGCTTTCATAGCTGCCTCAGTCTATAAAAACATTGTATAGATTGTAGATATATAAGCTACTATATAAATGCTTTTTCAGTTACGTACAACTCGACTTGAAAGAAATTATATGTATCAAGGAATAGTCTTTCACTCTCTATTTTTGAGCCATCTATGAATATGGTAAATCCAGAGTTAACTGTCACAAATCCCGACTCCCAGTTTTATCTGGTAGGGTAAAGGCTTGGGGATTCTACTTTCGAAATCCATAGCAGTAACTTGTGTAACTCAGATAACTCTTGAGCATACCGAAGCCATTCAATATTTTATTTGTTTTGAGATAAAGTAATATTCAATTTAAATCGTTTGCTATTATAGATATTTAACTGCATTTTAGACTATCTGAAGCCTATATGATTTGTGAATAATTCCTGCCTGTTCTAGAGAGTCTTAAGTGTTAAGTGTAACTATAAACAGAGAACTCCTTCATACAAACTATAATTGGAATGATATATGCCGCGAAGTACCCACTAGAGTTAGGCTTAGATCTATGACAGAGGCCCTATACTCCACGAGGAGAAAATAACAACAAGAAGTAAGTAAATTAGTGTAAGTTTAAGTGCATAAACGGCAGCTTATATACCCAATATTAAGACTATGTCTTGTGTTTCGTAATTCTGTATGAAAACCGTTTGGATATTTTGCCATTGGTTTTACCAATTTAGTTTTAGACATCCACACCAATATTACTTTCAATCTTAGAATCGCCTATGTGCTGAACGATTTTTCCTTTCTTGAGAGAAAAAGCATCTTCTATATTAGTCTAATCCATTCCGTTGTTCAGCTTTACTGGGAAGACTTTCTTCATTTCATCGATCTTACAAGTATTTTATCATGAAATTGACGGATTGACATTTTATATAAAAATTAATACAGTTTCGTTTTTAAATTACACACATACATATTATGTATGTACATTTTTAAACGTAAAACTATTTTACATGAGAAATGTTTTCATTTTATGAACTAAATTTTATCTTGTGAAAAATTATTCAATGGCTTGGGATGTAATCAACAGAATGTTCTTCTATACGATATTTTAATACAATAAAACTAAAAGTAACGAATATATCGCAGTCTAGCAAGAATGTCTCAGGTCTGGGTATTGATGGCTACCAACTCTAGTGCAATTGAAAAGTGTGCATTAGATTAAATTACGTTTTGGAATATTAAATTTGCTTGGGGAAAACAAAACAAATTGCAACGAATTTCATCGATTGCTGCTTGACTTGCAGTGACAGCAAAAGTTATTGTTGTCACAGAAACTTTGCAGGTACAAGGACATCGATCTGCTCGACACACATTCCAGCAGCAAACTGGATAAGCTGTATAGCACTAGACACACTTGTACAGTCCTGGGTAGCTGCATAGTCCATAATTTGCTTAATAGCACCTCATGCCGCAATGTTTTCAATTTCAATTTGTGTCACTAAATTTATTTGTTTTTATTTAATTGATGTGGTTTATCGGGAAGCTTTGTGGTTTCCAGTGAGGTTGAAGTTTATTCTATTCGATTGCATGCTGATCCTTGCATGGAAAAATATAAAATTCAATAAAATGAGTAAGGTAAGAGAAAAATAATTTATCGCATTTCGATTTAATTGAAATAAAATAAAGTTGAACTAGGAAAACATTTCTTTCAATAATAAAAGCAATTATTGGTGTTGCTTCAATAATTTAATTATTTTAAGAAATTAATGTCTGATTTGAGTTATGGATTATATACTTCTATGATTGAAATTGAAAACTAACTACAATTGAAATTATTTGTACCAAAAGTAAAATAAAAATATTTGATTCCAATATTATTTGCCAAGTATATCTTTTATTGATTTCTTACAATGATGTCTTCATAGTGAAGTTAAAGTAACAATCAAGTTCCAATAGAAAATTTCTTCTTTTTGAAATATAGATAGATAACGTTTCCTTCACTCCCAAACTAACATTCATCAACTTAAGTTTTATCTAAAATAGATTTAACTTTTTGTTAAATGTAATATTTTGCACCATTGGTTTAACTTTACGTAGATGATATTATTTAAATAAAACCAATAATAGATTCATTTTGCTAATAATTTCATCTAACTGACGATGAATATTTTACGTTTAAGATACTATAGAAAATTGTGGACATGCTATTTTGACTAAGCACAGCACCATTCTTTTCGTTACCATAAAATCTGAGATAATATCTTAGATGGGTATTCTAGTTTCCTCCTTTGAACTTTGTTCTATTCAAAACATTACTGATGGAACAATATCTTCAAGCTGATATTAACATACAAACCTATACCTACGTAACAGTAGCCGAAAGAGTATATCTACAAGGAATAAACAATCTTGTAAAAGGAAAAGTGTCAACTTGGTGACTTTTACCATTATTCAATAGATATCCACCACTAGTAAGGGTGTCACTACGGAGTTGTCTGCAGAAGTTGTCAGGCTGAGAGTATGGTTTCTACTATACTGATATGTCACTGTCCAGTTTTTTTAAACAAAAGTTTAAGGCTTTGTGGAGTTATTATAAAACTTTGACGAATTGGCAATATAGCATGCTTTACATAGATGTTATAGTTCAGAAAATAACATTATAAATAACAACAATTTCACTACTAGATGAGAACTTAAGAATTCAGAGTAATGTTTTCTGATAACTTTTGTTTATTCCTGACAAATACTTGACATACTCTTCTTGTAGTTTTAATAGAAGTTAAAGATAAATTTAAGTTGTGATTTGGTAAGTACCTACATATTACTCTACTATAAAGAGTCACGAATTTAAATGGATTACTCATGCTCTGATAATGTAGACTCATAAGATTATAATAATTATTACGTTGCACTGAAGGGTTTGATTTCTTTAATTTACGTATATCCCTAATTTAATTGGTTTATTATTCAATACCTTCTTTGAATTGAAGTAAGACATTATTATTAGTATTAGTATTATAATTATTACAGTAGTATATAATTATGTGTAATCATGTCTTTCGATCAAACTAAGAAAAAATACATTTGCCTGACAATTCTAAGTCTTCAAGGCATCTTAATAAATTTAAGTATTAATTAAATTTATTTTTAAATATTAATTTAAAAAAATGTAAAATATATTAATGTAAATAATGCAACAAATAATGCGTCTACAAACAAAATAGTATTGAAATTTAAGAATTAATAATAAAAATATAATTAATTCAAATATTGTACAATATTGTAGTGGTTTATAATTTCCTTCTAATAAAAACACAGCAAGTGAATTTGTTAATAAAACGTTAATAACAAATTAACAAAACACCAAAAACATGTGCGAACATAAAAGCCAAGTACGGCTTTGGGTCAGTTGGTTTAGGTGTGCTGACTCTGAGCTTCAAATTTGGCTGGGCACGCGTTCGATTCCTGGTACTTGCAGTCTCCAACAATTATTTACTAATAATTAAATACAAGAATTATTTCCAAGACGACTGACGATGGGTATTTGGCAATACTCGAAACAGCTGTATGGTTAGCCAAAAATTAAAATAATTCAAGTAATTCATAAAATAATTTTTGTTGAAAACCTCTTTATGGAATATGAATTTAATTAATATTTTTGCTGACAAAACATAACTAAATATATAAAGAAGAAAAAAAAGAAATATTTTGTTTGAATACCAATTCACACAGAGATTGTGGAAAAACTTTAAATTTCAGTAGCAAAAATTAAATAAAAAATCAAAAAAAATTAGTTTCAATAAATTGATTTAAGTATCTTTATGTGCTTGCATAGAAATGTTTTATGTGAGTGACTTATCACAAGAAACGAAGCACGATATACCGCAGAGCACCAATAGGAAACCCAACTGCCAAACACAGAAGAAATCTATACACTTTCTTACACGCTCGTAAATTGATAAGGAACAACAATAAAAAAATACGGAATTACGCTTTGTGTGTGTCAAGTCAACTCCCCATTATCAGGACGAGCACGTGTACGGAACGATTTGCAATTCGCCAAAATTCAAGTTGGAGCTGAGGCAGGCGCAATAAGCGCTACCGGCAAATAACAGCACGAATGTTGAATGCTACAAACGTGCCAAGTCAACGGAACGTAAGTATAAGAGAGGAATACAGGGAAATTTCAACATTTTGGGAAATTTTCACCAATAAGAAAATATTCTGCGAAATGTTAAAATTAATGAAAGTTACCAACTTTATTTCTGTTTTCTATTGAACAACACAACTGGCGAAGCATATCCTTTGGTGTTGATAGCACTGACAACTCAGTTAGTCGCTGGATTTACTATGAAAAGGACGACGGTAATTAAGGCGCGATTTAAATATAAAATAAATAATACATATTAACAATTAAAAAAACATTTTAAATATATTAAATAAAAATAATATCGCAATTTTTAATATTAGGTGATATGATATAATAAACTTAAATATATAAATTAAAATCACAAAAAAAATTAAAGTTTAATTAATTATAAAGACTTTATAGTAAGCGGTTTTTGGCGCGCTCCATTTAAAATTTTTATATTTTTATTATTATTTTTTAACTTCCGTTTAAAATGTTATATCCTGTAATGTCCTTCGTCAATTAATTTTAACCTCAATTCGTTCAAAAATTTAAAAAATAAATAAAATGACTTAAGCCGCATTAAACTGTAAATAAAAGAACGCATAAAGTACGAATTCGTGTACGTCATGTTGCAGTTGCAAGAAAAAAGGTTGCGAAAATTCCTGGAAATGAAGTATGCAACTTGTGTCCACATCAAAGGAAGCAGCGGAAATTAAAATTTGCATGTGAAATGAATTCGCTGCCTTAGCAGAAAAATAAAATAAATAAACCAAAAAAGTATAAAAAATAAACCCAAAACTACATAAAATCGCCACAGAAAAATATTGCTTTAAAAAAATCAGATAAAAGTCAAAAGATAAAGTTCAGTGTATTTTAAGATAGAAAGGATATTCGCAAATGTTTGTGGAAAAAAAGCGAGAAATTACCGCACATCGCCGCTTGCAACGTGTGAATTGTCAATAGTTGTTAGCATTGCAGTTAGCATTGCAGGCGATTTTGTACATAGAGCAGTGTTTGTGTGCAACTCTGCGTATGTCTGTCTGCATTTGTGTATTTAGCCTGCAACACACTCTTCCTGCCTGCAGTACAACAAACACGTACTGCAAACTTAACGCAACTTAACCCACCCAAACGTAGTGTGTGTGCAACTGAGTGTGTGCGCGCCTAAACGTATGCAGTAACGTAGTTGCATATTTTTATTGCACAACTCTGCGTCCTAACATTGCAGACGCTGTCGCTGCTGCTGTTGCTGTCACTGTCGCTGCCACTGTTGCTGCCACTGTCGCTTCCATTGCCGTTGCCGTTGCCGTTGCCGTTGCCATTGCAGCTCCTGTGCTTCGTTTCAGTAACATGCCGTACTCTTCGGGATTTATAGCTTATTCAGCAATCGTTTTGCTTTGTAGTTCCGGTAAGTGTACCAGCAGCAGCCAAAATGGCAAAAGAAATACATAACATCTGATACATTTGAACTGCTACACTAAATTCTGAATTGTATTTATATTCATAAGGGCACACATTTATATAAATATGCAGCATACGAGTGCTTCGTGATAACTGCAATTTCGGAAAATGCTTAATGTTGCTGATTACGTTTCTGAATATCTAAATATCTGAGTATCTGCATTTCAAAAATCTTGAATTTGTGTATTTAGCAATTCTTTTTTCGTTATCATTTACATTTCCATTAAAATTCAAAATTAGTGCTAGAATGCAGTCCATAACTATGAGGTTATCAGGAGTGGAAGAGCATAAAATCATTCACTGCATTCTGTGAGTTTCTCCAGTCTTTAGTTTTAGTTTAAAAAATTAAAATGGATAATTGAATACGTTCTTAGATATATGCAAATCTATTTAGGTCCCAGTGCTTTCTGGCCTTTAACAATACAGCAATGTGCATTTCAGGCCGGTTTCATATTTGTTAGTTTAAATTCAGTTTATCAGTGAATCAAACACCACACACACACACATAGATCAACTATGGGTACTTTAGAGAATCGACTAGATTGTGTTACTCCAGTAATTTGTTTACTCATATTTAAAGACTCTTTGAGATAATGCATGTATTCCTGAATTATAACTAATATAGTTCAGGAATATTGTAAATATAAATCACTTTAACCGATTTATTTTCTTTGATTCTTTTTGAAGCTACCAATATCAGTTTCTTATGATATATGAAGAAAGGTTTTCCTTTCATCCACACTAAGTCTAATTTTTCTTAATCCAGTTTCTTATGATATATGGTATGTAGAAAGGTTTAGCATTCATCTAAACTTAATCCAATATTACCAATTAGTGTTAGGCTAATAATATCAATTTTTAATAATTTATGAGAAAATGTTTTTTGGCAACTGCTAGAATTAACAATCAATTAGTGTTAAATAATTTCATAGTTATAACGTACATATAATTAAATCAAATAAATATATTTTCTACTCACCTAAAAGTAAACATTAAAAATTGATTAATAATTGAAATATAAAACGTTTTTATATAACAGAAAAACAGGATTAATAAGCGCGCGTAATTACTTCTAATTATCAAGTTTGATTCTAATATTGCAATCTGTTGAGCCACCTTCATAGATAAAAAGTGTTTCTCTCAGTTCAGTTACCTCAATAAATTGTAATACTGTACCTAATTCATTAAATCTTATTCCATTATAAGATATAAGTCGCGTAAGTGTTAATTTAGTAGACACCTAATAGATCACTTAAGGAGCTATTTAGTTTCTACACTACTAAGCTCCTAACATGTAGTTATACACAATCTCCTTCACTACCAACCTTACAGGATTTAAGGTGAATTCTCAGTTTTGTTACATTGCAATTCAACCTATATGATTAAAGACTATTTTTATTTAATTTCATGTAGTTTTAAAAGCCTTTTAGGTAAAAAATCCCTCCGAGGGTTTTGAATTTCGTTAGCTGATAAATTGCTTCTCTGTTTCTACTTTTATTTCTGCAACCCAAAGTCCATCAAAAAGAAAAATAGGAGCTTTATTTCGTAGTAGTATTTTGAAGTCCGTTTTCTTGTAAATCTCAAAACAAATTCAAACTATTTAATATCATTAATATTATTATATAGAAGTACGTTACAATATAATATTAACATTTCACATACTGAAGCTAAGGTTAAAACACCCCGTACTGAAAAGTTTTATATGATCTTCATAAACACAATCTGCAGTTTAATCTATTCTGAGAGTTTTTGGTGTCGATGGCAATTAATCCCTAGAGATGTTTAGATCTTCACTGTTATGATAGTTGTAGTGATAACTTTTCCCACAAAAAAATTAAACTAATATTATTTTTGGAATAATAATAGCAATAATTTATTTACGATATATGAATATTACGAATATTGAATGAATATATATTTTATTTAAATATTTTACATATTTATCCAAATGGAAAAGTGTTTAATATGTAATTTCATAAAGAGCCAACTGATTCATTTTTCTTTTTTTGCATTCAATTCACATTATTTATTCACCGGCTTTAATCTTTCACAACAACAGTTCGGCATAAAAACCTTTAAATGGAAAGCGTTATTAAAATTTTTCATTGCAATAAAATAATTCTCACATGGATTTTTAATCTTCATGCATTATTTAAAGCAGTAGCAGGAACGGCTTTCAATACTTCATGTTAGATTTTATCCAAACAGCAAAAAAAAAAAATTGGGAAAATGTTTATGGTCAAGCTGTCATTATTACCTTTGCTCTACTTTGGATCCTTTTTGGTTTCCTTTTTTTACTGCACGTCTAAATGCACACAGCACACAATGTCAACCACACTGACCCACTGAAGCTGGTTCAATAGGAATTCACTTGAGGCAATTGTATACATTACAATTGGTCCAACCGGTACGAAAAAAAGGACTAAACTCAATAAATTTACTTCTTCAGCTTTTTGCCTCGGGGGTAAATTTAACACAATAATTTGCACAATTTGTCAAAAGGCTATTCAGACAAATGACATGGCAGCACATAAAATGTTCCTTAGTATGTGTGTGTTGATATCCTTGTTATTATGTGAGACGTGTATATGTATGTGTATATGTGTGTAGGGGTAACATTGGCTTCAACGCAGCACAAAAAGGATATTCGCATTGACACATTTAGCAGCATATTTGCACGCAGGACTTTATTGTTTGCTCCTTTATTGTTGGCGACATTGCTTTTGTTATTTGTTTACATTCCTGAGGTTTCTGAGGACTCTGCGTTTTTATTTGCACTTCAATTGTATTTTTATGAATGATAAAAAGAGAAGATTTTCTCACAAAGCGTGTAGCAAATGACTGCAAAGTATTTAAACTTAAAATTTTTCTTTACATATCAAAACATTTATTTAATGCTTTACAGTTATTGAAATCTATTTAGACTTGAGGTATAAGAGACTGCTCTATAGGCATGATTCGTATGTACTAGACTTAGGGCGGACTTAGTATAGTTTCAACTACTACTGAAACCTTTCCTATCTGGTATCTCTAGTGACTAACACGTCAATGCGTAAGTTTTGCCAGATTAACATAATGCAACCTGAAATATAAGGAATGCAAATTATAGTGATGCTATAATTAATTATAGTGATTATTCTGGATATCACACCAACAAATATTTAATGTGAGAGCTGGCTTATTATTATGCTTCAAAAGTAAATAAATTTTTTATCAAATCGAATCTTAAATATCTCAATCAGGAAAACTCCATCATAGTAATTAAACTACAGTGCCCAGGCAAGAAATTACTTCTTAATTTAAGTTTAGACCTATTTTGCATATAGCGTTAATACGAATAAGCTTATTCTGAAAAATTGGTTAATACTCGTATTATATATCTAGCATTCATAGGAATCAGCTCTTTGAATTATCAGAGAAATTGATCATTATTGACTGTTGTAGTCCTTTTTGTTTTAGAACACTTTTATGGGATCTTTCTAATCACACCTTTCGTTGGTTTTTGATAACGACTTAAACGTCTCTGAAATTTATTTCATTTAGTATTTTAAATATAGATTTTCAAGATATTTATATATTATATTTATAAAATAGTAATATATTATTTATAGTGTAGATTTACTGTTATTAACATAAGGTATCTCACTTTATCTTAAGTCAATTGCGTTTTTTCCAACAGGTGTGTCATTCATCGAAACTAGGAGATATTTTGGTTGGTTAGAGTGTGAGATTTTCTATGTTTTTTTATAAACGGGCTTGTGAGATATATATTTTTTAACTTGAATATATGTAAACAGTTTTGGTATTATTAAACTTAATCCGCTTTTATGCCCATGATACCATAGAATTTTTATTAATTATAATTATTCTGTCGATTATATCATCACCAAATACGGCAGTGACATGAGGTGTTGAAATCAGGAAGTGAATTAATTAGGTTACTCTAATGAAACTTTGTTTTAATATATTTTAATGTCTTGAAAATATCAAAGTAACAAACGGAAGGTATTACACATATTAATATAATGCAATTAAAGTATGCTTTTTATATAAAATTATTTCAGGATATTGGACTAGACAAGTTCCGCGTTTTGCTTTTTGAAAATATACAAATTTACACCAAACTTAATAATGAATAATGTAAAATGAAGTATGAAGTATGAAGTAAATTACATTTCAGTAATAAATTTATTCAATTCAATAAAGATATAGTAACATATACATATAGATATATACACTTAACACATAAGTATATATAATTATAATATTGAAAAGGATAGCCATCCTTGAGTGTCTTATGATGAAATACTCCTTACGCTGAAAAGCAACTTTCATGGTATTCACGTGGAAAACCTTTTGTTGTCATTACTTCATATTTATTTTATATTTACTTTATACTTTTCCACTCGTCTAGACTAAATTAGTGGAATTAAAGTAATAATAGGTTTACGTAGTTCATGTTTTTGTTGGGGGAAAACATGTGTACATTCTGCTCTTTGTGCACCTTGAAATTGCGGCGAAATAGGTTAAGGGTTAAAGGTTTGAGTGTATCTACAAAAGCATTTTAATGTAATTTAAAAATAATTGCACGTAATTTGTACATTTACAAATGCAGATAATAAGCATAGGTATATAAGGCAGTAGGTATGTACTGTATGTATTGCTTAAGTTTTATAGCATAAAAGAAAAATAATTATGAAAATATAGAAATTTCAATCGAATTAAATTTAATTTATGAAAATATATCAACTGAATTTATGTGAAAAGTGAATTGTCTTGGCAGTGGCAGTAAATGTCTTTCCCTCATCACGGCCCTTACACATAACATAGCTCTTAGGTTTCACCAAAATGAATATATTCTATATATTATATTAGGGTTTGTATATCGGATGACGCCGAAAAATTTTATTGTCTCGATCGCCAGTTATGGTTGAGACGTCCGTGCTC